AAGTCCCGGCTGAGACCGTCACTGCGGTGCCGTGACCTGCCCTGGCGCAGAGGCAGGGCCACAGCCATGTCCCTGCTCCTTGGGCACCAAGCTGGCCCTTCGTTGAAGCCCGCGCTGGTGGTCACCCTTGCCAAATGGGTGTCTTGGGCTCAGCTGCTCCCTGGCCACGGCCAAGGCTGCAGCGGGGCTGGAGCAGCTCGGCTCTGCCCTGGGAACGCGCTCTTGCACCCTGGTTGTCACCGTGCCATGGACCAGGAGCCGGCTGCGCGCCCTGAGGTGCCGGTGAGGGCGTTAACGCGCGGGAGGTGCCGATTTTGGGTGTTGCCACGTGTGCCTTGCGGGTTGCCACAGGTTTGTGGGGCAGCAGATTTCCCTTTTGGGTTTCATCTGCTGGAAGAGCCGATGCTCCGGTGGGTAAGAGCGGGGACAGAGAAGATGGACTGAGCAGCGACCGAGCCCCGCCAAGGCGCAGACACCGTCCGGCGTGGGAAGGGCTGCTCCTTCCCATCCCGCCCTGCCCTCTCTCCGTGCGATGTTTCTGGCTCTCGTTTCTTTTGGCAGAAAATTCACGTTCTCATCACCCCTCTCCTCCCCTCGGCCGCGTTCAGCCGCAGCGTCTCTTCTCCGTCCCTTCCCCTCCCGCCAGCGGACGGGGAAGATCCCCCACGGCTCCACGGGACACGGTGGAGACGCTGCTTGGAAAACCATCATCTGGGAGGAAGAGGAGGGAGCCCAGGCTGCTGCTGGTCGTGCTGTGAGAAGAAGACGAGGAAGGTAAATGTCAGCCCTTCGTTCCAGCTGGGAAGGGGATGAAAACGGGAGAGAAGCTGCAGCAAGGGGTGGCAGAGCTGAGCCTTTCCCATGAGATTTCCTTAAATAAGCCCTAGTCCTAAAAATAAGCAGGGAAAGTCACTGCAGAGAGGAAGTGCCACGTTAACGCTCCCAGCGAAAGGCATTTTATTTCTGTTTTGGAGTTGGTGAGATTCCTTCTGTGGCATCCCCCTCCGAAGCGGGCTGTGCAGTTCCTCGGCTTTCGTGTCTCGGCGTGTTCCTCCCCGGGGCAGTGCCAGGGCACCCGCCGAGCCGCCAGCGGGGAGTGGGAAGGTGCGGGTGGTGCTCCCCATCGCCTCGCTCCCCGGAGCATAAAGCCACCCTCGTTGCAAGAAGCAAGGACAGGATTTTTGGGAGTTAACAGCTGAAACAGGAGCGTACCAGGGCGTGAGCCGCGGTGGCAGTTCATAGGGCTGTTCTCGTGCTCGTGGCGGGGCCAGATAAGCAGTGGCTTGTCCGACTTCTTCCCGCTTTCCCTCTGTTCTGCTCCTAATCACATTTCCTCCTCTTCGTCGCCCCAACGCAGCCGCATCCTCCGTGGCTCAGCTCCGTCGTCCTTCCCGCTCGGGGGCTGTGCCCGGAGCTGGCAGATTTGCCCACACCAGGGCTGTTTCCTTTGGCGTG